GGGTCTGGGCTGGGGATTCGAACCCGCCACCTTAGATGTACGTGGCTGGCGCCTTAGCCGGTTGAGCTATAGGCGCTGAGCCTATCCTCTTCTATTTTTAACTACACAACCCCGAACTAGCTATGTAACCTTGCTGTGTTGTATCATTAGTGAAACAGGGATAATAAGAGTTCCCTTCAGTCTAGCTAAGAACAGTGCTAGGTACCTAAGAAGGACTGAGAGGAATATCTGATTTCAAATCAAAAGTTTATACTTTTTTTTTTTTGAGAGAGAGCCTTAAGCTGTCCCCCTGGGAAGAGTGCTGTGACATCACAGCTCACAGCAACCTCCAACTCCTGGGCTCAAGCGAGTCTCCTGCCTCAGGCTCCCAAGTAGCTGGGACTACAGGCGCCCACCACAACGCCTGGCTATTTTTTTGGTTGCAGCTGTCATTGTTGTTTGGTGGGTGCAGGCTGGATTCGAACCCGCCACCTTAGGTGTATGTGGCTGGCGCCTTAGCCTCTTGAGCCACAGGAGCCGAGCCTCAAAAGTTTATGCTTAAGAGATCCTCTTACCTCAGCCTTCCAAGTAGTTGGGACTACAGGCCACCACCACACAGGCTATTTTTTTCTATTTAGTAGAGATGGGGGTCTCGTTCTTGCTCGGTCTTGTTTAAGATATAAGTATAGTTTCTCAAAGTAAGTGTCTAACCTGTCCACATGGTTTTGCCATCTTCATGGTAGCTTTTTTATGCCAGCAGCAAAGAAGCCTACAGAGTGAATAGTAATGTTGAACCTTGCTGCTAACCCAGGTGTAGGTTGAGATGGATTTGCTTCCACTACAGCTTTCAGCTCATCCTTACCCACCTTGCGCTCAGGTTGCCCACGTGGCTTGTTTTCAAGGTTAAAATCACCAGAACAAATGTCTGAAACCGTCAACATACTGTGCCTTCCTTAGCTACAAATATCAAACACTTGTTGATATTTCAGCGGATAGTTTAGCTGTCTGTGCTGCAATGGTTCCAAGACAGAACCAGTATTTGAAATAATGTAAACTTTTTACTTATCCATGGTTTCACAAAAACTGCTTTAAAAAACATTTGAAGCCAGGCATGGTGGCTCATGTCTGGGATCCCAGCACTTGGGAGGCTGAAGTGGGTGGATTGCCTGAGCTGAGGAGTTCGAGACCAACCTGAGCAAGAGTGAGACCCCTGGTCTCTAATAAATAGCTGGGTGCTGTGGCAGGTGCCTGTAGTCCCAACTACCTGGGAGGCTGAGGTAAGAGAATCGCTTGAACCCAAGAGTTTGTTGCTGTGAGCTATTGACACCGGGGTACTCTACCAAGGGTGACAAAGGGAGATTGTCTCAAAAACAAAACAAAACAAAATAAAAAAAAATTTGTAAGACAGGTGAGGTGCAGTGACTCATGCCTATAAATCCTAGCACTCTGGGAGGCCGAGGTGGCTGGATTGCCTGAGCTTAGGAGTTCAAGAGCAAGATCCTGTGTCTACAAATAGGCGGGCATTGTGGTGGGTGCCTGTAGTCTCAGCTACTTGGGAGGCTGAGGCAAGAGAATCACTTCAGCCCAAGAGTTTGAGGTTGCTGTGAGCTATAACACTATGGCACTCTACCAAGGGCAACAAAGTGAGACTCTTTTTCAAAAAAAAAAAAAAATTTGAAAGAGGCCAGGTGTGGTGGCTCACACCTATAATCCTATCACTCTGGGAGGGTCAGATGGGTGGATTGCTTGAGCTCAGTAGGTCAAGACCATCTTGAGCAAGACCAAGACCCCATCTCTACTAAATAGAAAAAAAGCCTGGTGTAGTAGTGGCACCTGTAGTCCCAGCTACTTGAGAGGCTGAGGTAAGAGGATCTCTTGAGCATAAGAGTTTTAGGTTGCTGTGAGCTGTGATGCCATAGTACTCTACCCAGAGCAAAGGTATGAGATGTCTCAAAAGAAAAAAAAAAAAAAACTGAAAAATAATTACAAGCCAAAACATGCATTTGAAAGAATGAGGATGTACTGTCACAATAATAATAATAAACAAAAATAGAAACCAAACAAGAAGTGTTAAAAGTGAAATGTCAGAGATATCAAGTGTCAACTTGGCACTTAATACGAATGGAGATTTCATATTTAATAACCTAATATTATGATGCCCAGGAATCTTGAGAGTATCTTTGTCCTTTGGTGAACTTTGGATAGCCTAGATAAAACTGCCTTGAAAGTTAGAAAATTTGGTAGTAAGGAAAACTGAGGTGCTAGTGGTTCTTTCCCCTCCTGGATCTGTGCTGGATTGAGAAGTACCTGGCAGTGTAATTTCCCTTTCCTGCTAATCCAGCAGAAAAGCCCTGACCTGCCTCCTCCTATCTCTGCAGTACCAGTACTGGAATACCAAGGCTCGCCGCAATGAATTTACTGCACTAGAGCTCTACGAGGGCACTGAGCAATACAATGCCACAGCCTTCAGCTCCCTGGACCGTCCCCAGCTGCCTCAGGTCCTCCAGCAGTCCTACATCTTCCCTTCCTCCATCAGTGCCATGGAGGCTACCATCACTGAGCGGGGCATCACCAGCCGACACCTGCTGAGTGAGTGCCTGGAGGTCTCTGGGCTGACTGGGTTCCCAGAGCAGGAGATGCGTTGCTGGCAGAGCCTGTTTGACAACCCATAAGGGAAGGGTGCTGAGGTGGGCTGTATTTCAGTGGGAAAAGTTCCTTGGTTCAGCTTTAGCCACCTATAATAACATGAGCACTTCTCTCTGAGTCCTCATTTCTGTTGAACCACTACCCTTCTCTGTTTGGCATTTTTACCTACCCCAGAAAGTCAGTCCCTAGTAGCAGTCTTAACATAGCTAGACAGAAGCAAGCAAAAAAAAACAAAAACAAAAACAAAAACGTAGCTAGACAGGTTGTGTTGATGGACTGTAGAAATTGGCAGGGCTTAGGACCTTATCCTTGTGTAGCCCAAGTTCAGGATTTGGTGATTGTTTAATAGGCTTTTGTGCTTACTTGATGTTACCAAAAAGGTTTGGGACTCTTAGCTCTTACAGGCACTTGGTATTACTATTTTATCTCACATAGGAAGAAGACAGCCCTCTTGGCAGTTTACCAGCCTTCTTTTTTTTTTTTTGCAGTTTTTGGCTGGGGCTGGGTTTGAACCTGCCACCTCCGGCATATGGGGCCGAGGTCTTACTCCTTTGAGCCACAGGCGCCGCCCACAGTTTACCAGCCTTAATCACCGTTACTGAACCTGGTGATCTGATGATGCCTTGTCATCCAGCCCTCCCCAGCGTAGTACCCAGCTGAGCATGCAGCCTGTGTTTGCTTAATGGGGAAGAGACTCCTTGGTCTGGGAGGTGTTCTTGGAGGGAAAGGAGAAAAAGATAAGGAGATCCAAGTGGCCTTTCACGCTCTTGTCTTTCATCATTCCCTACATTACTGTGCTTCATTTTCTGATGTCTTAGGATGATACATGAAGGAAACCGTATCTTCAAAAGTATGAGCCTCATTCAGACCGATACATATTATTGAATTATTATTTTTGACTATTTAAGGGGGTCTGATTGACTTCTTTTTTTGTCTTTGTTTTATTTTGGGGGGGGGGTTTAAAAAACAAACTTTATTCCAAACCATTACCCCAAAAAGTAGTTAACTCTGAAACATTTAACAGATTTAATTCATATAGACACAATTCTGTTGTTGTTTTAAATTCTATTTTAAATTTCTGTGGTAATGGCATTTTTAACTGACCCTCATTTGAGATTGGATTGGTGTGAACAGTGATTTCTTCCCGTGCAGTTGGGCTACCTTCTGGAGCCATTCTTTCCCTTCCCAAGGCCTTGCTGGATCCCCGCCGTCCTGAGATCCCAACAGAACAAAGCAGGTGAGATCCTTGTGGAGAGTGCTGAAGGCTCTGGCCTTATGGTGGTCCTCAGTCCGCCACATGCCATCATGCTGGGCTGGGAACAAGTCAGTCCTCATGAGGTTACATTCTGGTGGGAGATAGACGAATAAATAAGTAAAATATATGTAGTAACACCTCTGTAAGTTGACTACCCAAGGGAGTGTAACAAACTGGTCAACATATGGAGGTGGTCAAGATAAGGAACTAGGCCTACTATACTGATACGTACATGTGGTGCATGTCCAGTCCATGAGAATTCAATAAACTTGAGGTGATCAATATAGGGAAGTCGTCAGCTATGGCGGTTCTACTGTACTATATGTGTATACTTAGGTACTTGAAAAGTACTAATGAGAAAAGAAAAATCAAAGACAGGCTATGAAAAGCAGGTGTGGGGGTGAAAATTGAGGTAGGGTGGCCTGGGAGAGCCCCCCTGAAAAGGTGACTTCTGAGTGAAGGCATGAAGGAAGTGAAGGAGCTAGCCATGAGCTATCTGAAGAGGAGCTGAACAGGCAGTGCACATGCCCTGGAATCAGGCCTGGTGAGTTTGGGAAGGGCAGGAGGCCCATGCGGATGGAGCAGTGAGTGGTGAGAGACACCAGGAATGAGATCATGGGGCTAATGGGGGCCAGATCGCGTGGGCAGGCCAACACCTTGTTCACTGTTGGTATTTTTGTGTTTCCAACCACATCTCTGCAAATTTTCTTACCTACATCCTGAATTCACTTCACGGTGTAAGGAACTGTCTTTGGCATGTGAAGAATGGAGAAGAGTGTAGTTGTTTGGAGAACTGTCTGAGAGAGAGGAGGTTGTGGCTGGGAAAAAACATGGGACGATAATCAGGTTTCAGAGGAGAAATGGGAACTGAGAGGCATTCTGGAGTGAAGAGCAGGAATTGGTCTATGTAGGATTTAAAATGGCCCTGACTTTGCTCCTCCAATGTGAAGTACCTGATTTAGAACCAGGTGTAATAACCAAGACCTCAATCTTGCTTTATAGACAGCTAGCTTTTTTGCAATCCTTCCTAACATTCTGCTGCTAAAATTTTAAGTACCTAATGCAAGCAGCTCTCCAAGGAGATTCGAAGCTAGATATGTAGCCTGAAAACCTCCTAGGACTCAGGAAGGGCAGCCAAGAGATCCCTTTGTAGCCATTTTCACAGTGCCTGTCCCTGCTGTTTTGCAGAGAGGAGAACCTAATTCCATATTCTCCAGATGTACAGATACATGCAGAGCGATTCATCAACTATAACCAGACAGTTTCTCGAATGCGAGGTATCTACACAGCTCCCTCAGGCCTGGAGTCCACTTGTTTGGTGAGTAGAGCCCACAGCCCAGCCTGTGCCATCTTCTCCACAGTCATCCCGCGTGATAGCCGGTTTTTACTTCACCCTTGGGAAAACAGCTGAGGATCCCATTTCCTCATCTGAGTTGAAGGTTATGGTGGATCATTGGCTGCTGCTTCTGTAATTCTTGTTCTCTCTGCCTTCCAGGTTGTAGCGTATGGTTTGGACATTTACCAAACTCGAGTCTACCCGTCCAAACAGTTTGATGTCCTGAAGGATGACTATGACTATGTGTTAATCAGCAGTGTCCTCTTTGGCCTGGTTTTTGCCACCATGATCACTAAGAGACTGGCACAGGTGAAACTCCTGAATCGTGCCTGGCGGTAAAGACCAAAGACTCTGCCAGAGAGTGGAGAGCTGAGGTGGAATGTGGATCAGATGAGAAGCTGCAGCTGCAGTTTGGCAGGTCGCTGGAGTATGTGTTGGGTGCTCATCTCAGTTGAGAGATGTGGGGAAGAACTTTTAGAACTTTGGGGATATACATGGTGCAGAATCCTACCATGGACAGAGGCTATACATGCTGCAGAATCCTACCAAGGTGGGAATCCTACCATGGACAGAGACAGAACTCATTCTCAGCCAAGCATCTCAGAGCGTCCTGATGGACTTTCCCGTGAAGTCTGGAGGCTGCTGGGCTGTTACCTTCCTTTGTTCATCCATGAATGTTCTGTTTTTGTTTTAAGACCTCCAACAGATTTTTCTCTTTTGTGAGGCCTGCTTCAGTTGGTCTAGTTTGCCTTCCATGTTTACCAGTTTTATCTAGAAATCTTTCTGACTTTTTCCCTGTGTCTTGCTTCAAAGTCAGAAGAGAACTCCCTCCTTGCCAACCCCACCTTAGTGGTGCATTTGCTATTTGACATTGGGAGAAATAGGATCCATCCTTAGCTAAGGTTTTTTCCTCCAGCGTAACTTAGGGGTGAGGAATCTGTACATGATGTCAAAACTAATTTTAACTAAACCTATGGTTTGCTGTCATTATTAGGCTGGGTCCCCCTCCATCTGTGTTTCAATTTATCAGAAGCCAAGTCCATAATAACATCTTGGTTTGTTGGTGATTGTTTATACTTTTTACCTGACATATATCAGGTCCAAGGCCTTTTAAAAACTACTGAATTATCTGAACCTTGAAGAGATTTCTAGGGAGGAGAGCTAATCTCATTTCGCCCACAGGCTGGTCTAGTCATAACCTAATTAACAAAGATGTCCTTGTTTAAGAACCCCATTATTTATTTTTAGTTTTAGATATAAATTAACATTTTGGGTCATTGTGTTTTTTAAATGAGGAAATTTTAAATCTAATCTTCAAAGCTTTAAAAAAGAGAACAGGGCAGGTGTAGTAGGAGGAATATGGGGATGTGGTATTGCTGACTGGCTGTGTCTCTGCCACCAATTAAAGAAATCCTTGGCTGGGTGAGGTAGCTAACGCCTGTAATCCTAGCACTCTGGGAGGCTGAGATAGGTGGATTGCTTGATCTCACAGGTTTGAGACCAGCCTGAGCAAGAGTGAGACCCTATCTCTACTAAAAATAGAAAAACTGAGGCAAGAGGATTGCTTGAGCCCAAGAGTTGGAGGTTGCTGTGAGCTATGACGACACAGTACTCTACCCAGGGCAACAGCTTGATACTGTCTCAAAAAAAGAAATCCTAAAAATTTTCACTTTCTCATGGATATGGGGAATGATGGTGTTTTTCTTTACTGTGAAGCATGAAATGTTCAGAGTAGATCCTCTCTAGCCCTGTGGTGCGAAAGGTATGCTCAAGTTTCTGAATAAAGATGTTCAAAGATACTGATTTGAGTCTTTTTGTGTGTGTGTGTATCTGAGGCAGATCACTCTGAGGCTTCTTTCATATTAGGGGAAAAAAGCAGTGCCAAAATGGAATTAGTAAGGAGGCATGCCAATTTAATCATATACAAATGAGTCTAGGTTATTTTATTTTATTATTTTATTTTTGAGACAGTTTTACTTTGTTGCCCTTTGTAGAGTGCTGTGGCATAATAGCTCTCAGCAATGTCTAACTCTTGGGCTCAAGGATTCTCTTGCCTCAGCCTCCCGAGTAGCTGGGACTACAGGTGTGTGTCACCACAGTGCTCAGCTGGTTTTTCTA